GGCGCAGGCGACCTGAGCGCCCAGGCCTAGGGAGCTGATCCGGTTCCATCTCCGAATTACGCGGAAATAGTAACACTGTTTCCTTCCCAGCCCCTCAGTGTGCTGGGGGCAGGGGATGGGGGGGCCTCGTTTCATCTCGCTGATTGATCACCTCCCCCGTGGGGCCTCTGAGCCCAGAGCGCACGGTCCCACTCAGGGCCCCAGCTCCCCAGCCCCCGGCCCACCTCAGTACAGGCAGCACGCATCTCAGTGCCGGTGGGAAACTCATTCTAAATAACGGAAAGTATTGCTCCATCCACCTACGGAGATGGGCGTGACATCAGTGATCGTGAAAAATCGTTTCAGTAGCCAGTAATGGCTCAGAGAAGTGGGTCTGCAGAAGGGACAAAAACTCGCTGCCATCGAGGCCACCCTGTAAGGCAGAGCAGAACTGCCCCGCGGGTGTCCAGGGACTGCAACCCTTGAGGGGGTAGAAGGCCTCATCTTCCTCCACCGAGCCAAGACCCAGTACCCCCGCAGGGCTCCTGCAGGGCGAATAGCTCTCAGACCCAATGGGGACCCCATCTAGTCCAAGATGGACAGCACGCTGCGGTCACCGCTAACTGCCCAGGGGCCCATGGGTGTCAACCCCCAGCGGAGGTAGGGAAATTGGATCGGCACGGGGCTCAGACGGCTGGGCATTTGGTCCAAAGAGAATGTAAGTTCGCAGGAAGACGAGTGGGTGTCCGTGGGGTGGAGACGACAGGGTAGTACAGTGGGAGATATGTACCAGTGGATGGTAGAGGACACCAGACGCCTGCCTTGACAGTGGATGCCCACTCAGGGGCCCAGAGGACCAGGGTAGAAGGGCCCCTGTGGGTGTCCGAGATCAGAAGCCCTGTCTCCCAGGGGCAGGTGGTCGCAGATTGCAGACCCCACTGCCCCCCCCACCACCACCACCCCAGTCCATTGTGCCACCAGGGCTCCCTGGGACAGCTAAGGGGAGGAACTTCTGATGACTAGGAGGTCCACCCCTCGTTTTCCCACACTTGGGCAGGTCTTCCAGGCCATGGTAAAGTGTCATGGCGCTGGGTGGATGTGATTTGTCTTAAAGGACAACCGGGTTTCTCTAGGTTATTTATTTCCCCGCTGCACATGCTCAAGATGAGAGGGTGTTCGCAGAGGCCTTGAATCCGTCAATTTTACTGAAGTTTATCGGCTGAATTCTTCTTGACTACGCCCTTATTTTTAGGGGGTTTTACAGTGGAATTTTCCAGCTTCCTTGTTCTTTTCCTGAACAGGAACACAATAGAAGGTCCCGGATAGAATGGGAGATAAACGTACAACAAGCCTCAAATTCCTAAGAAAAGGAAAACCCAGCCTGGGGGCCACCTTTCAGCCACCCATGAACACTGTGCTCTCTTAAATAAGCAACTTTATTAGAACAGATAGTGGCTGTTACCCTGAAATGAAAATTTCATGGGGGGAGGGGTGGGGTGGGGGCAGAGACTGTTGGCAAAACAACCATCAGACAGGAAAAGAGAACACCGCTGAAAGAAGAGGTACAGAAACTTGGGGGGCAGCGAGAAAGGGGAGCTGATATCAAGGAGCTCAAGAAGAAAGACAATTAAAATGATGATGGGAGTAATTGTACAACTATGCTTGATCTAATGGAACTTTGGATTGTAATATCTGTAAGAGCTCCTAATAAAA